ATATGAAGGTCAACATTCCAAAATTTTAGTATTTTAATTAAGAAAAGAGTTACAAAATTATTAACAATAATGTAAAAATGGCTAATATTTTGGTGCATTATGATAGATTTGGCTAATTAATAAAATTTTAATAGATTTGGATAATATAAAAGAATCTGAAATTTTTTTGAATAAAAATGGACATTAACCTATTTTCTTTCTTCCATAAACCTTTCAATTAAATAATGATTCTAGATAATAGATAAAATTATTATCTTATGTTTTCTAATTAAAACTCAAGTATACAAGTACTTAAACTTGGGGATTTCGTTTTTCCATTTCTCCTCATGGGTGATTGCACTAAGCTTGGTGTCTGGAGTGTCTGCAACATTGCTTCTCTGATTCGGCGGTGCAGAGTATTCGTTCGATCCCTTTGCCAGTCCGGCAGGTATCCGATCGGTGTGTTTGGGCTTGGGAATCAGATGGGGAGTATAGTGTGAAGTCGGGTTACCATCTGGCCCTTCAGATTAGCCGTAGGTCTCCGGGGTGGAAGGAGGAGGTTTCGTTTTTTTATATGGGATTTTGGAAGAAAGTGTGGAGCTTTCCACTACCTCCTAAATTGAAATTCTTTGTCTGGCAGCTCCTTAGGCGCATTTTACCTACTGCGGAGGCGATCATTGAAAAGCAGGGGCAAATTCCCTCTGAGGTCCTAGACTCACCTGAAGATGAAGTGGCCATCTCTCCCCGCTGCCCGGTTTGCTGGGCGCCGGTGGAGACTCTTGAGCATTTGTTCTTGACTTGTAGAGTTGCGACGGCCCTTTGGAATTGCTCGGGGGTGGCGGGTGTGGAAGGGATGGCAGAGGTATCTAATTTTGCTTTGTTCTTCCGTCAGATGGTTGAGCAAGATGCTGGGACGGAGCGGATTGTGCGCATGGTGGCCTTGCTGTGGAGAGTTTGGAAGAGCCGGAATTGGGTGGTTTTTGAGCATTTGCAGTATGATATTCCGTGTTTAGTTCGTCAGTACGAGGCACAGGTGAGGGAATGGTTGGCGTTCATCCAGCCGGGGCAAGTCCAGATGCTGCAGCCGCAGCATCGAGTTTTGGGAGGGGGTAGGGGACAGGGTCAATCGCAGCAGATGGTGATGCCGTTTTCCTGTCATGTGGATGGGGCGGTTGCGCCGGGATTTCATGGTGCGGGGGGCTTGGTTGTCCGCGATGGTATGGGGCGTGTGTGTATGGTTAAGGGTTTTCAGTATGCAGGTATCGTTGATCCTTTCCTAGTGGAGTTGGTTGCATTTCGGGATGCAATCCAGTGGTGCTCAGGGAAGGGGCTTGATGAAGTATGGTTTTATGGGGATGCCAAGGGTGTTATTGAGAAGATTCAGCGGCGGGAGGCTCGGGATTTGAAGGGTGGGCGGATTCTTGAGGAGATTGAAGGGTTGCGGCGGCAGTATCGTGCTTTTGGTGTTTCGTTTGTTGGCAGGAGTGGCAATCGGGTGGCTCATGACGTAGCCAGGAAGACCCTTTCTTTGTTATCTGCTGTTGTTGCGAGTTTTGACTTTGACCGTTGGTTTCTTTTTGGGTCGTAGACTTTGTTTGTAAGACTTTGATATCTTTGATTTGGTAATGCCATTGTCTATTGCTAAAAAAAAAAAAAGATTGCACTAAGCTACACCAATAATTACTCAATTAGAGACACGGATGTTGGACCTAAATGAGTATCCCAACAAATGGGCTATAGTCCGAATAAGATGGGCTCATTTTGGACCTAGACAGAGTCCCACTCATATGGACTAACATATTGGGTCAAACTTTGCATAGCCTAGCGTAAAGCTCCTTCCTATTTCTAGTCCTCTTGGTTATATACGTACTAAACTAATGGACACGACTCACGAGGGATTACGTGCAGTTCTTGGGAAGCACTAATAAGATAAGACGACGAAAAAGATGTTTGTCAAACTCATAATGAGGTTCCTAATTCCACGAGTGCTCGTGTAGTGTTCCTAATTAGTTCCGTAAAGAGATGAGTTTATGCGTCTCAATAAGTGTGTGTGGAAGGAAGGAGAGACCGATTTCAGAGGGAAGCGTACTTGAGCACTCAAATTTCAAATGCAAGATAATCATCATCACGTTAGGCCAAGTGCTGTACACTAATCATGTTTTGTTTCCGTGTACCATTTTGATGTAACCCTTATGCTAATTATTGTAGGTCTTGCCTAAGTGCATATTATCTTATAATAATGGACCGCACACGGATACGTTTCATCGATTTAGTTTTTTTTTTAAATGACTTAATGTTTTATCACTACAGCAGAGCTAAGAGGTACGATAGAGGGGCTTAAGATTGCTTGGAAGGAAGGATATCGCAAGATCCAGCTCAACATCGATTCCATAACAACTATCAAGATCATCATCAGCAACATATTTGAGGATGACCATCGACATGGTAGCATTGTCAAACAATTCAACCACCTTTTGAATCTACAATAGGATGTCTGTTTGTCTCATGTGTATAGGGAAGTCAATTTTATTGTTGATTTTTTGGCTAGCAATGCTCATAATTACGATTTTGGTATACATCCTTTCAATATAGAAGACAAAAACTTTGACCAATGGATTTGTCATGATATAGTGGGAGTTTCTCATGAATGTTTTATTACTAATGTAACCTAGGCGCTTCTTACCAAATTTTTTTTGGAGTATAATGATATAATATGTGAATTTGTCACAAATAAATAAAGATGCGGACGTCATAGATAGAAGCAATTGTCTTCAGTGCATTGTGTTTAGGGCAGGTGACGGTCTGACGGAGCTATAAATATAAATAAAGGCTAAAAAATTACATTCACAGAATTTGAAATGATGACTGATAAGAGGAGGCTAAACTCTTAACAATTACTAGTTGTTCCGAATCTATTACATAATTTACATTATTTTGAGAATTCACATATTAACAATCCTTTGTAAGGATCGCACACATATTAACAATGCTTTCCCATCCCGCTGCTGTTCCTTGTCTTCACTTTTTTTTATTTATTTATTTATTTATAATATTGCTTGTTTTCACATTGATTATCATTTATATCGCAAGAAAAATGTGTTCAATTCATACATTAACAAATGCAAGTACACAATATGTCCCATTTTTGGCATGAACATGCCTTTTGCTCTCAGTTCCCTTTGTCGATCTGTTTCAAATTTTGTAAGGAAGCCGGCACGACAAGGATATGAACATGATACCAATGCAAATTCATGAAAAATATATTTTTAGTACATATTTTTAGCAAAAGAAAAGTAGATATTGCATGACTTTATTACAAGAAAGCTTATTTACTTAAGAAATAAAAATACAATATTACGCTTCAAATTCAGCTTGAAATAAAATTACATATAATTCAAATCTGTAAAAAATTGCTATTGACCTTTGTAATATTGTATAGTATACAGTTATATACAATATATGATACAAAGGAAGAGATGATTTATTGATTTTTTTTTATCGGATGATCGATTTAAAGAATTAAAACAAGGAATATTGTCGAATTTTGGTGAATTATCATATCCCCTCAAGTGAAAAGACGGTGTGACGTTAAGAAAAAAAATAAAAAAATAGACCGCATATGAGTCATGACACCCCAGCGAGTAATAGAAGTGAAAGCAGTGAAATTCATCTCACGCAGCAAAAGATAGAAACCACAATTTTAGGACAATAAATCGCCGCACTCCCAATATTTGACTTTAATTTCCTTGTCGTACCACCTTAAATGACAACCATCTTTTCTCATCCTTAAGACTTACTAAAGGTTGGGGAGGAGTTATGGTGATGAACTTATTCCGATAGTTGCTGAAAGTGTGACACCCCTTATTAATTACTTATCTAAATGGGGAAGGTGACCCGAGTTAAATTAGTACTGACACAACCAGTCCGATTAAATCAAAATCTTTAATTGATATCAATACAAATAAATCAATACCAAACAAACATGATAATACAGGTATCTCGTTAACAACTATCAAACTAAAGAAAAAAATTAACAGTAAGAATAACACTCACTAGCTACCACAACTTCCATTATTTGTTGTTAGTCCGATGAGGATTCCATTATAAAGCATGCAAGAAAGTAATGTCCAACGAATTTGATAGCATAACCGTTGAGGAGTTTCTCGCCGGCAAATCAGAGCTTACGCAGGATAGTGAGAACCTCCCGTTTTTACCCCTATCATATTTGAACCCTAAGATTAGCCCGCATCTAATTAAGGACATGGTTGACTTGTCGCCGTGACAACAATTCATAAAGTAGGCACCTCTAACCCATTCCAAAGGTTGGCAAGTTTCAATGCATCCAAGCTCATATTACAATTGACATATAACAACAAAATAAACAAAGAAGTATACATTAGGCATGGACATGGTTGTCAGGCTGGTGGCATGTCGGCTTGTGCAATCTGTTTCAGTAGGTGTTGCTCGTGAAATTGATTATTGGTGTGACCGACATGATCAACTTACGAATTCTAAACAAAATGATGTCACTTAAAGTGTGTTTAATTAATAAAAAATTAATTTATTATTTATTTCATGAATCGAAATAGTCAAAAATGGATGTCATTTGTTGAATTGTAAATCAATTAACCTTAAATATGATTAAATTCACTGGATGCTAATAATTTTCACGTATTTTGTTAAACCAGCAATCCAGCATAAATCGGTACAAGCCGGTTGTACCATTGATCGTACTCGTATCATTCCACTTGCCAAATCGGTACAGAGGTATAAACCGATTTGACAACCTTGGGCATGGATAATTAATTCATCATCCATATAGTCGCCTATAAAATCCCGCAGGGGCTTGCTCTCCTTCCACATCAAACTTAAAACAGAGGAACAAAGGCAGATAGCTAGCCTACACACTTCCTTAACGATTTGACAAGAGAGAAATGGGAAGCCCTAAAAAAAAAGTTTCCATTGATGCACCACCACATGCAGTTTGCATACCCTTCCCGGCGCAAGGCCACATAAATCCGATGCTCAAGCTCGCCAAAATCCTCCACCACAGAGGCTTCCACGTCACCTTCGTCAACACCGAGTTCAACCACCGCCGCCTCCTCCGCTCCCGTGGCTCCGCCGCCTTCGACGGCCTCTCCGACCGCTTCCGCTTCGAGACCATCCCCGACGGGCTCCCGCCGTCCGACGCCGACGCCACCCAGGAAGTGCCGGCCCTGTGCGATTCCACGAGGAAGCACTGCCTGGCTCCGTTCAAACGGCTGCTTTCCGAGCTAAACGAAGCGGCGTCGGCCGGTGATGGTGGTGGCGGAGTGGCTCCTCCGCCGCCGCCAGTTAGCTGTGTGGTTTCTGACGCCATCATGAGTTTTACGCTTGATGCTTCTAAGGAGATCGGGGTCCCTAATGTGTTGTTATGGACGGCGAGCGCGTGTGGGTTCGTGGGTTATTTACATTATCGCCAGCTCCTCCAAAAGGTCATTGCTCCCCTCAAAGGTATTATTTTGCTTACAATTATATAGTTAAAATCGCGTTTTAAAATTTAAGAACCTACATTTTTATGCTTTTAGGTTACCAAAACATTTTTACGCATAATTTTAGTATTTATAATTAATGTAGTTAAAAACTGCGCTTTAAAGAAAATGTTCCGATTTTACGTTTCTACGTAGAAACGCATTTTCGACTACATTGCTTATAAGTAACTCTCGTAATATTTGCTTCAATAGTATTTTTAATACCGTATCATTTTCCAAGAATTTAACCACAACTATGATCTATGTAACTATATATTGACAGATGCAAGTTACTTGACAAATGGGTACATGGAAACTCAAGTTGACTGGATCCCTGGCATGGAAGGCATCCCTTTGAAGTATCTCCCAAGCTTTTTCGCCACAACGGATGCAAACGACCTTATGTTCAATTTTGTCCTAGAACAAATCGAACGAGTTCGAAATGCATCGGCACTAATTTTCAACACATTTGATAAACTAGAACAAGAAGTTCTTCGGTCTCTCTTCCCAACCTTCCCTCCAATCTACACACTCGGCCCTCTGCACCTCCTGAAAGTCCAAGAAACCGGCTTGGAATCTCTTCAATCGAACCTGTGGAAAGAGGAAACTGATTGCCTCGAATGGCTCGACCTGAAAGAACCCGATTCGGTTGTCTACGTCAATTTTGGGAGTATCACTGTCATGACACCTCATCAATTGGCTGAGTTTGCTTGGGGACTAGCGAGTAGTAACAAGAATTTCTTGTGGGTCATTAGGCCGGACCTTGTTATGGGCAATTCCGCGATTCTTCCCCAAGAGTTTCTGGACGAGACCAAGGAAAGGGGACTGTTGGCGAGTTGGTGTCCTCAGGAGAAAGTGCTTAAACACCCATCGGTTGGAGGGTTTTTGACGCACTGTGGATGGAACTCGACGCTCGAGAGCTTGACGAGTGGCGTGCCCATGATCTGCTGGCCTTTCTTTGCCGAACAACAGACTAATTGTTGGTTTAGCTGTAACAAATGGGGTGTTGGACTTGAGATCAGTAGCGTTGTTACGAGGAGTGAGATTGAGAGGCTTGTTGGGGAGTTGATGGATGGGGAGAAAGGGAAAGAGATGAAGAAAAGAGCCTTGGAGTGGAAGAAATTGGCGGAGGAGGCAACTGAAGATGAGATTGGGGAGGCTTACCTGAACTTGGAAGAGATGATCAATAAGGTTTTATTGAATTAAAAGGAGAAGGCAAATTGAAGATTATAGGGATTCATTCACAGGATAAATTTGGTATCGAATAAGATGTGAAATGATTCCATGAGCAAATGTCAATATATTATTATAAGCTTTATTTGCGAACTAAATAAAAAGTGCATCGTTTTTTCAAGCTATCATGTATGCTACATAAAAATTGATCCATTTTTCTTCCATTTGTTGCATAATTACGTGGAGAACTTAATTTTCATCATAGAAAAGTTAGGTACGCCCTCAAATAAAATTATTGGTATGTTTTTTGCTAACACCACACAAAAATTGGGATATACATTGGTTGTCATAAATCTTCTAATACTTCCAAATCCAATTGCGTGCATTACTATTTACTAGTTGAAATCTTACTAAAAGGCAACTAGCTTTATTCCCGGCCTGTTGGCCGGGTGAGTTTTTCATTTTATCTTATTGATCAAGTAATTCAAATGTATGTTTTAACTATTTTAGTTTTTTAGGTTGTTTGTATTTGCAATAAATTTTCAAAAACATCGTTGTGGTCTTGCAATATAGGTTTATGATATTGCAATTTAGTATCTGTTTTTACCATTCATTTTTACATGATCATCTTTTTTCGAGGAGGAAAAAAGAAGGGTTATAGGTATAATATGCCCCTCTATTACGACTTTTTATCAAACATGCCCCTTTACTATTTTTTACATCAAACATGCCTCTGTACTTTGTAAAAATGATCAAACATGCCTTTTGTTAAAATTTTAATCCAAAAACCGTTAACCAACGTCAAACTTTAGTTTGGGCGACACAAATGACTAAAATATCCCTAATAAATTCACTTTAGAATCTTTTGGTTCTTTTGTATAATCAAATCATTCAAATAATTTCACTTTGAAAAGACCCATGGAAATAAAACAGGGGACAAAACTGACATTTTTCCTCCCATTTGTCGATGTCGGGTCGTCTAAATCTCAATTCAACCATGATTGATGACTTTTTCAATGAAAATTTTAACAGAAGGGCATGTTTGATAATTTTTTCAAAGTACAGGGGCATATTTGATGTAAAAAATAGTAGAGGGGCATGTTTGATAAAACGTCATAGTAGAGAGGCATATTATACCTATGTGAAAGTCTTCTCTCACTAAGATTAAAGAGTAAATTCATTATCCTGTCATACATGCGACATTTTCAAAAATTCTATCAACATTTATTATATGGACACATAATGATTCGAAATCTCTGTACTCATATCCTTCAAGGCGGTTTTGAAAGTCTAACTGCACAAATTTATGCAAATTTTTTAATCAAAGTTCAAAGCAATCAAATTCATCAAATAATATTTAATATATGAATCAATATTTATTCACAATATCTAATATTTGAATTATATATGTTAAATGAAATATTCATTTCTTATGACAGCTAAATTCAAGTCACAAAATATTAATCATTTATACTGAATTGAACAAAACAAACCTTTATGTTTGTTCAAAATAGCACATTTGAAACAACGTTAAACAACAATCAATTATAAAAACTGAACAAAAATCCATCCTAGAAACAAATAGGAAAAAAGGTTAAGGGTCTAATATATAAAAAAAATTGGGTATTTGTAAAAAATCGAGGACAAACAGAGGAATGGTGTAGAAAACATATTTTTTTTTTAAATCTCTAGCATGCGATTTTAAGGGAGATGGCCAGAGAAATAAAAAAATTAAAAAAATGCAATTCCGAAACTTGCGGGGAAGCCAGGAAGGCTTACGTGGAATAGGTTCTTTTCTTAAACTGCTTTAATATATTTTAAGATGCATAAGAGTATCTCCAATGTAAGATATATCCCTTTTCACCATCCTCATGGCCGATTTACAAATGTAGGTTATGAGCATGTGATGGTGAAATAGTTGCCCTTGTTCTAGTTTTCTTTAACTGATCTTAGTGTATTTTGATGCTCATTCTCTATTGTTCTAGATGAGAAAAATTGAATCTTTGGGATAAGTATATGGATGCATGTGACTTAGGTCATATGACCAAGTTATTATCGTTATGGAAGAGCCCTATCTAGTTTTAAGCTCTCGAGAATGGGAGGCAGCCCGCAACTTTTGGGCCAAAAATGACGACAAGAATGACGAAGTGGATGACATCAAACTGTGATAGGTGCCACGAAGCTTCAGTTTTTGGCCTGTTGGCACACATTTTATGGCAGAGAGGCAATAAAAGCAAAACCAAAAGACGCACAAAGAGACAATCAGCGCGAGGAAAAGAAACACAATCCGGCTACGTCGCTGCCTGCTCAAGGCCAAGGCAGCTTTTGTCAGCAGCAGCAAACTGCTGCCGAAAATGTTAGCGCGCCAATGCCATCTCTCTAATTCTGCATATACAGAACCCATGGGAGTCATCCGATCGGAAGCCATACATTTCTGCTCATGCAGTAGAAAGGCCATCCCTTTCCATCAGTACGAAAGGCCAACATGGCCGGCTTCACAGCAGTTCGTGAGATAGCCGACAATATTATGCTGCCATAGATCAGACATTACTAACACAATAACTTAACAGTAAAGAGATTCAAGAAAAGGATTCCAGGCTTCCAGCTCAATGATATGCGAGATATCAGTAACAGTTACCTGTGTGCTAAGTTATTTCCATGTCGGTCAATTAAAACAGAGCTAACTATAAACACTATTGGATTGCATTGTCACATAACATACTCTACTTCACTTAATACATAGCTTCCTACTTCTATTCCAAGTTATCGACCAAGCACATCACAAGATCAAGTTTGAGAAATGGCGTACCTCCTCTGGTCATGGTGGTGGGCAGCCACACTTTCAGCAGCAGCCATGACTTTTTGGTTGCTCCAAACCATCAGAAAACCTAACTTGCCGCCTGGTCCACGTGGGTTACCAATACTTGGGTACTTCCCCTTTCTGGGTACCCATCTCCACAAGACGTTCACAGAACTAGCCCAAGTTCACGGCCCCATCCACAAGCTCTGGCTCGGTCAGAAAATCTACGTCGTGATCAGCTCGCCATTGCTTGCCAAACAAGTCCGTGACAACGACGTAGCGTTTGCAAATTGTAATCCGGTAATCGCGACCACTGTCCTAACATACGGTGCAAATGACATCGCTTTCTCCCCCTATGGCCTAGAGTGGAAGAAGCTGCGGAAGGTCTTCATGCGTGAGTTGTTGAGCAACTCGAGGCTCGATGCTTCCTACATGCTTAGGAAGCAGGAAGTGGGAAAAGCTCTTGCGGATGTGTACTGGAAGAAGAGAGGTGAGGCTCTGGACTTTGGGCAGTTGGTGTTTATGACAATATCGAACACCATCCTGAGCATGCTTTGGGGGAGCACCATCCATGGAAAGGAAGGGGAGAAGTTCTTTTCCAGGGTTAGAGAGTTGTCGAGTGAGTTTGTGGCGCTTCAAGGAGCAGCCAATGTCTCAGACTACATTCCAGGACTTGCTAGGTTTGACCTGCAAGGTATAGGGCGGAAATCCAGGAGGGTGTTGGAAGTACTTGATGAAATCTTCTGTAGTACTGCAATTGATCAGAGACGGAAGAAGTTAGTCGAAAAGGCAGAGAAAGAGACAACAAAGGACTTCTTGCAGAGAGCTTAAAATCCAGGGAGATGATGCTTCATCCATCACAGAAAACCAACTCAAGGGCATTCTCATGGTAAAATAATTACTAAGTTAGGTGTCCTGTTTTCTTTATGATCACCAGTTGAATCGTTTGAGCCAAGTGAAAACCATAACAGTAAAACTCTTTGTCAAACATAACTATGTTCCAGGCAAATCTAGATTTATCATCGCGAGATCAAAGCCTTTACCATGCTGTCTATGTACCTCAGCAGTCAGCAGCTGATCATAGCCACAGAATGCTAGTAATGGTCTATTATTTTTGGGTAACCATATTCAGTAGCTAGACTTGTCAAAGAAAGAATTCAAACTTCAGTAGCTAAACCTGCCAACAAAAGAATTGAAAATCGTGGAACAATGATCAATCACAATTTACATACAAATCATTCACGGGTCAGAAATCAAATCAAAGACTTAATAAAGCATCTCAAGTCCAATCCATCTGGATAATTACCTGAGCAAACAATGAACTGTCTATGATCCTACTTTCTTCCATACCGAGTTTTATTAATGCTGAAAGTTTGGTTAATCCTGACTTGATTGCTCGTGTAATCCCTACAATACATATTATTACAGGATGCTATAATCGGAGGAACAGACACAACATCGACGACAATAGAATGGATAATGGCAGAGCTGATACAACATCCAGATGCAATGCAGAAGGTAATCAAAGAGCTAGATGAGGTAGTAGGAAGAAGCTATGTTGTAGAGGAGTTCCATATCCCCAAGTTATGCTACCTAGATGCGGTTATCAAGGAGACATTCCGCCTGCATCCCACAGTTCCCATTCTAGTGCCCCGTAGCGCCAGAGGGGACTGCGACCTTGGTGGATACACCATTCCTAAGGGAGCCACGGTTGTCATTAACGCTTATGCAATCCAAAGGGACCCATATCTCTGGGACAGTCCTCTGGAGTTCAGACCAGAAAGGTTTCTGGGCGAGAAAGCAGCAAAGTTTGATTACTTGGGTACTAGTTCACAGTATCTCCCATTTGGTACTGGGAGGAGGGTTTGTCCAGGGCTTCCCATGGCGGAGAGGATGCTGAAACACTTTCTAGCATCGCTGCTCCACACATTTGAATGGAGACTTGCATATGGGACACAGATTGATTTAACAGATAAATTTGGAATTGTCGTGAAGTTAGAGAAGTCGTTAGTTCTTGTTCCTGCACCAAGGTTAGCCAACCTTGAGCTGTACTAGAACCAAACAAACTGTAGACAACGTGTAATAAGGAAATAGTATGGTAGTTGGAAGTTGGGCTTCACTGTGGGTTGAAGACTCCATAAGGACCTCTAAGCAATCTTTTACTTCCTTTGGTACTACAGGAAGACCCAACAGTTTTAAGCATTTAAGAAAGAAGAGCTCCATGAACTCCCAGTAACTTTGAAACCAAATCAAGAAAAGAAAAAGAAATTAAAGCCAGAGAACTATTGAGAAGCAAGAGAGAGTAGACAAAGCTGATTGACATGGGAAGCAATCTTACTTATTGACAGTTTGACACGACTCTGAAGTTATTATTGGCAGAGAATCCAAATCAGATATACAAGGCTACCAAAGAAATCAATTAACATCTAATTAGCTATATGAACCACTCAATATATCAGGCTGTAGGATACTTCTTGTAAGTTCCACACTCATCAAAGTTACATCACCTCCTCCCTTGATCAGAAGTATACAAAGTTATTACAATCATTCATCGAAATCAGAAAAGTCACCCAAGTACTACCTTAAACATGTAAAAGAGCCCAACTGAAAAGTCCTTGCCGACTCTATTTCACTTGAAGTTGAGCTTCCTCCTGCCATTTTGTTCCAAAGAATAGAGTACAGCCTCTGGTCATGGTGGAGGGAAGCCAACAAGGGAAATTCGTTAAGCCAACTCTGCTTGCATTACTTGTAGCGTTGATCATGGTATTCTGGTTGCTCAGGAAATCCAACAACAAATCTTCAGCTCCACTGCCACCTGGTCCCCGTGGCTTACATTAATAGGGTAACTGCATTTCTTGGTACCCATCTTCACAAAAGCTTCACAGAGCTGGCTGAAGCCTATGGCCCAATCTACAAGATTGAGCACGTATATAAGATGTATGTCATGGTTGGCTCACCATCACTAGCTAAACAAGTTTGTGACCAGGACATAACATTTGCAGGTTGGGATCCCTCGAATGCTTCCAAGAGTTCTTCCTTATGGTGCTAATGACATAGGTTTCACCTCCTATGGCCCTGACTGCTAGAAACTGTGAAAGGTCTTTGTACGCGGACTGTTGAGCAACACAAGGCTCGACTCCTACGTATTAAGGAGAAAGTTGAGAGGGCTGTTAAGTAGGTTTACCAGAAAAGAGGAAAACTGTTGCACTTTGGCCAATTGGTGTTTATGACCGCATCCAGCACTGTCATGAGTATGCTCTGGAGAGGAACAATTGATGGAGAAGAAGAGGAAAGTTTCTTCAGGGTAAATCTTTTGTTTTTAATATCAACTAAATGACAATTGGGTCTGGATGCTTGCCAATGCAACCATAACTGACGATCATTAAACAAAGACTGGCCCATGGTGAGTAGAATTGGCACAACGATTTCATGAGTCCGGACATATATAAAAAGTTCACGTTGAAGGAATTACCAAAAACTTTCAAGATTCATAGAGCTATTTAATTCTAATTTCAAAGCATGACCTTGCTAGTGCATAACAGACACAACAACAACCGCAATACAATGGAAAATATATGCAAAGAGCTAGGAGGTGGTGGGATGAAGCCATGCTGTGGAAGAGCTCCACCTGCCCAATTTACACTACCTAGATGCAGTTGTTAAGGAGACATCCACCTGAATCCAACATTTCCTTTGCTGATGCTACGTCGCCCCTCCAAGGACTGCAAACTTGGTGGATACACCACTTCTAGGGGATCCACAGTGATGAAATTGCTTATGCAATCCATAGGGACTCACAACTCTGGCATAGTCCTCTCGAACTTAGACCAGACAGGTTCCTAGACGAGAATGCAGCCAAGTTCGATTACTTAGGGAGTTGTTCCCAGTACATCCCGTTTGGGACATGGAGAAGGCTTTGTGCAGGGCTGCCTATGGTGGAGAAGATGTTGAAATACCTCCTTGCATCACTGCTCCATTCATTTGAATGGAGACTAGCTCACAGAACACCATGGATTTGACGGTTGTATTTGGAATCGGTTGTCAAGTTAGAGAAGCCGTTAATTCTTGCCTCCACACGTAGGTTCGCCTATCTAGGGCTATACCAGAAATAAGCGGACATTTTCTGTGGAGCTATGCACATCCTATTCTACCTGATAAGATAATTTGAACCATCCTAATAAAATTGGCAAGCTATGTTTGCCTTCTGTGAGTCTCTAGCAGGAGCTAACGGAAGTTGTAGTGTAGTACAAATAAACAGCAAGGCTGAGTAGTTCTGCCTGCAAAAATTAGACTACTTCATAATGTTGTGAGTAAGGAGACAGTTTGCTTGCATCTAGCACAGCCTATGCTATAGCCGCATTAGCCCCAGCAAGTCTTACAAGCTCGAGGGACTGACCATTCCCAAACTAGCTCAGTAGTTATCACTTATTAGTGCTAATGGAGAATCCACAGGACCCGAAGCTGTTTGGCAATCCTCTGGAATCCTGGGTTCGAAGCTTCCTTATGGCAATCCCAGCAAGTTTAACGACTCGGGAAGCAGGGATGAGGATAGGTGCAGGGTTTCCCTTGCCATAAAATATGCTGAAAGCCAGAAACCCATAATCTGGATTCATTGCTCCACTCATTTGACGGAGGCAAGCAGATGGAACTGATGGATTTACACTTACGTTCATCAAATGTTTAACTGAGCCACTGATCTATGTCTTACTCTCTTTTTCCAACCAAACTTGCAGAACCAAATGAAAGCCAAGCAAAGGAAGGAAATTTATTTAGGTTGAAATAACTCACAGGCAAATTCCCATTCACACAACACTCACAATGGCAGAACAAAAGATATGACAAAGACAAAGGCCTTTCCTATTCACACAACACACCAACTAGGGCAGAACAAAATAAATGACCAAGATAAAGGGCATGGAACTTGTTGGAATCAAAACCGAAGAAGAATTCTGATACGTAATGATCTAGAGAGAACCGAGTAGCAGCAACAGCCTCCGCCTCAGCCTCTGCTTCTGTCGCCGGTACAATCACCATAACAAGAGAAAACTAGGCATTCGCAGCTCCGGCATCCTCCAGAATTCCATCGCCGTCTAAAATTCTTCGAAATCCATCGTGCTAGTGCCATCATTATGACATTGTGCTAACTGCTAACTCCAAGTAATCACTAATCAATCCATCGTGACAATGTCGTGAATAGGGAGATTGTCCCTCACAATCGCCACCGCCCATCTCCACCACTAAGCCCAACCTGCGTGTTCTCAATGTTAAATATATGATCGTTGAGCACCCGCTTCTAAGTTCTAACACCATCTCCAATAACCTAGAATGTTAGAGCCTAGATGTAGTTCGGCATTTTGACTCTCAAAAAGTGGATTTTGCTCCAATATTTCATTTGAGTTGTGACATGTTTGGGGCATTTAAATTCTAGTCGACTTGTACACATGTTAAAAAACGATTATTGGGAAATAATGTTCAAGTTACTTACCCGTAGGATTTATCATGCTCTAGCGGTGTAGAAGGTAAAACCACTCATATCTCTTTTTCGTCGAGTTTTACTGTCAACCATTTCACCTCATTCACACTGATCTTTGAGGTCTGAGCGAAGTGACTATCCGACATGGCTATAAATACTTTGCATTGTTTGTTGATTATGTTACTCGATATACATGGGGTTACTTCTTTATGTTAGAAATGAAACTGACTGCCTCTACAAGACCATAACAAACATACAACTTGACTCTACCAACTTCCGACTATCATAAACTCTTTTTCACTTTTCCCTCTAAATCTCGCTGATCACCATTGCTTACGACTATCAAAAACTCTTATGCACCTTTCCCTCTGAATCTCGTTGGTCACCATTGCCCATAAAAATTTATCAATACGACAGTTTTCAAACTTTATGACTGCTCTATGAACTCCTGATTGTCTATCTGTTGTAGGCTTATAGGACTAGCTAGGTAATATTTCCTGCTGTATATATGTGTAGTACATACATAAATTTAAAATAGATAAAATTCTCATTTTATTATGTAATTATACTATACAATAGATAAAATTCTCATTTAGTGTCGCATGTTCAATTCTCAAACATTTAATAATGTCATTGATAGGACTATAAAACAATCCACTCACTCTCATAATTTATCCAATAAATTCATGAAAATCAAAATAGTATCGAATGTATACGTCATGATGATTTCAAGACGATTTTCTAGTTAAAACCCAAGCAAATAGGTACTCAAAACTTGGGGTTTTCTTCTCCATAACCAACATAACATCACTAGAGGCAGGACAGAGGAACCAGGGTGCCATTTTGCAAGATTTACAGAACCAGGTTGGTGTCATAGCTCGCCAAATTACTACCCGGGCCCTGGGGACTCTACCTGCCACCACCATCCCCTAGGGCTGGCATTTCAGTTAGTTCGGTTATAACCGATAACCGAAATGCCGGTTACCGGTTAACCGAGACAAAGACCATGGCTACCGACAACCGCCCGAAGAAACGCTTCGGTTAGTCGACAACCGACCGGTCGGTTATCGGTTAGTTGTTCGGTTAACCAAGATAACCGACAGACTATGTGCGGTTCGGTTTAATCATTAAAAAACAATTTTTTAGGACTCATCGAGCGACACGGGAAAAGAATAGGGACCATTTCAGATATTCTTCCTAAAACAAAAACAAAAAAAGGGAGAAGAAGGGTCGGGGATTCTTTTCCCATCGGCATCTCCGCCCCTCTCTGTGCATCACACCATCACTCCAGCACCGCCATCGTCAAACTAACGCCGGCGATGTCTCCCGCGTCAACATCTCCATCCCTCTACCTCATAACCAGCAGATCTACGGGCGAATCGAGCTCCCTCTCCAATGGCTGCTAGGGCGTGGGGTAGCGGCGATGGCGCGGTGGCTAGGCGAGGGCGCCTGCAGCGACGTCTCTGTGCCGGGACGAGATGGAGGGGAGGCGAGGGAGAAGGGGACAGGGGTCGAGATGGAGGGGAGGCGAGGGAATTTCAGCAGCGAGAGACCTGGAGGAGGGTGGATGGCGGATTGCTGG